AGGTCGTTGACGTAGATCAGAAACAGGAGTGGTCCCAAGACGGAGCCTTGAGGAACTCCAATGGAGACCGGCGCTGGAGAGGAGTAGGTCGAGCCTATTCTCACACAGAATGATCTGTCTGATAGGAACGCCTTGATCCAGCGGAGGATTTTCCCTTGAATCCCCTAAGACTTGAGTTTGTGGAGCAGCGGAACGTGTGGTACCCTATCAAATGCTTTTGAGAAATCGAAAAATATGGCATCCGATATGAGCCATTCGTCCTTGGCTTGGGTTAAGCTGTCCATAAACACAAGCATGTTTTTCACGCAAGAACGGTTCGGGAGTAATCCGTGTTGAGCTGGAGATATCAGATTGCTGTAAGTAAGGTGATCTAGGATGGCTCGCTTCAGAATGCGTTACATCACCTTGCACGTGAATGAAGCATCAGTGGCAACACTGATGTTGCTGTCATTGATGATGATGATGATGCGGGCGAACAGGTTCATTCACCACGGTCCAGCGGCAAATTTGATGATGATGATGATGCGGGCGAACAGGTTCATTCACCACGGTCGCGACAGCGGCAAATGGTACGCACGCTGGGGTCTAAAAATCGGTTTGGCACCGAAGTAGATCTTACCATTTAGTAGTAGGGTCTTGCCGGGTACCCTTTGGGCCTGATGATCCGTGAATGACACAACAGGTTTTCCTATTAATTCTCCACTGGAACGTGATATCAACCAGTAAAGATTATTAGATACTGGTCCTCCGTATGTAACTGCAGTTGTCTTCACCCACGGGTGAGGACACCGGGAAAAGTGGCGTAATCGTCGGCATCGCGCTTGACCAATTTGAGACAGTTGTATCGAACATTAAAAAGTAATCGATGCTCGCTAAAGAATTCACGGAGTTGTTCCAATGTTTGTGCAAAGTTTTGGACTTTTGGGGAGAATAAAGTTCGCGAACCGATTGTGCTTGAGGCTTCCAAGCTTCTGGGCCCCTCCTCCTAACGGTCAACGAAATGAGGCATTGGAAGTTGTGAAATGATTTACATTCTTGGTAACGGTCTTATTGTACTTTTAGTTGTATTAAGTTGTTTTGTCTGTGTTAGGTGTAATATTGTAGCGTAGCAGATCATGGCAATGCGCGAATGTGCTAGGCTTGGGTTGCATTGACTAATTTGAGGCACCCATGGCGGCGAAGTGGCATATCCGTGAATCTCAAGGGTTGTATATGTTAGGCTATAGTACTGGCTATTTTCTTGTGTGGATGAGGTGTATCTCTTATGTGCGGTGGAACTGAAACGCTTTCATGTCACAGGCATGCCTTATGTAAACTGGTGTCAGTGAGTCCGCAATAAGGCAATAAGAGAACGAGTGTTCGGTTGTGCGACATGGTTTCAATCGATGAAACTGAGCAGCACCAAAAACTGGGGTGGTCAGGCCATGTATTACGTAGACTGATTCATGGTCTGCCCTAGTCAGTGGCGCAAGTATGAAGGTGACCAACCTTTGGCCTGTCAGAAGGCTGTGTAACTTACTGCGAAGTCCGGGTGTTATCGATATGACTTTCCGTCCAGGATGAGGTCCCAACTGTGCCTGTTCGGAGGTGCTTCAAGACATGGCTCCTATTTGATGCCAGTGGCCTTCTTTTCGTCAACTTCTACTCAGCTTGAATGAGTGTACGGAGGTGTATATACCTTGAAACGGTTGTGATAAGCTAGCATCAAGTGCCATCTCTGTCCGCTTTCATTCTTTTCTTCACAATGAGGCTCTCGTCATCATCATCATCATGGACACCATGACATCAGTGTTCAACACTGATGCTTCGCTGCCGTACAGAGAAATTGTGATTGCACGGCGGCAAAGCAACAGTGTTGAACAATGGTGTCGTGCTGCTAATTATGTTGAATGACGACGTTATTGATGCGTAATCGGGTACTTGTAAATGAGCCAGAGCCGTAAAATCGGTAGATTAGGCTTATCGGGACTCTCGCGCCTTCCTAGGGCAACCCACTTGATCATGTTTACGGGTGGTTGGAGACCATGTAGAACATGGAACGTAGAACATAGAACAGTCGATCCTAGTGTGGCGTTTCCTGTTATTTGGTCGGCTGACTGCCTATCTAAAGCTAGTCTATCGTTGTACTTTGCCCTTGTGTTGGGGGAGGCTCGAGAAAGACGCTGGCTCACTTCAGCTGGTGGTCGCATTACAACAAAAATCCGGGACCGACATGCATGAGTACTCGTGCATTTCCGTACCTAAACCTAGCCGGGACGACAATCTTAGCCATAAACCAAAGCTCCTGGTCTGAAAGTGGCTCACATGCAACGTTGCGGGCGAGTCGGACAACTGGGATGACAAAAGTAATTCAAGCTGTGTCGTCATTTTATAAAGAACCTTTGAACCATGCCTCTTTCGGTCTATTATCTATGTATGGGGGGGGGGGGGGGTACTTTATTCACTCAAACCATTCTGGTCCTTTTTTTGTTTCAGCCACTTTTCAGTCAGATGGGTTAATGATACTACTTGTGTATCTGGATTCAAGTCACTTCTGTCCCGTTGGATGCCCATACAAATGCTACCACACTGCAGACAGCTACTCCTCAGTTATCTAACAAAAGGTCCCACCCGGTCCTTTGGTACCAGTGCTTCAATTTGGGGTGGCTTTGGTCGGAATGTTGGGGGTTGGGCTCGCCGCATTGTTAATGGCTTGAGTGAGACAGAACGCACCATACTTCTTCAAGAACTGTCCAAACACAAAGCATCCTCAAAAATAACCGCTCCCACTAGCCCAGCAACAGTTTCACACTTAAATACAACTCATCTACGCCTAAGTAAGTTCATATTGGACCAGCACCTCAATAACCCATACAGTTTTTCTAGCCAACGGACTTCCTTTCATAGGCTTCGGCTTTCTAGATAACGCTATAATGATCATAGCCGTAAGCGCTACCACTTTATTTATATTTGTTCAGGGTGAGTATATTGATTTCACGTTCTCATCAGTGTTTGGGCTTTCAACGATGGCAGGTAACTTTTGAATGACTCCAATTCTATACCTACAGCTGCTGGGCTTGGGAATTGGGTGTCGGATTTATGTGGCATTGGGTAAGTGATCGTCTCTGGACTTTGACTGCACTTTGACTTTTGACTTCGCATGCTTGGCAACACGACTTCGTTGCATATAGCCTGACCTAGGCACATACCTAAAGTTGACCAGCTCCCGGACTAGGATGAGTCGACTTCAAATATTCATCACATAACGGCGTGGCAATGCACGATTGACGTTCTCGGTGTTTGGGGGTACATCTCTAACATTTTGACAACTAACTGCGGTAACTGGTGTCCTTTAATCTTGCCAGCATGCATGCGGATATAGCACAGTTCCGAAACTGATAAACGTGAGGTTTATCTAAACTCTTCATGAATGCAAGGACAAATAGTTTTCCTGGTAAGTGGCACGAACGCTCTGGAGACACCTCAACTGTAGCACCATCTCGGTGCCCAACTGCCATGCCACCAGAAGGAAGCACGAGGGTTGGGATACTGTCTAGACAGGGGAAGTCTAGAGGTGGAGATCGGGTTCGAACCACGGACCTTCCGCTCTAATCACTGAGCTATCTTGCCCCACACCCGAGAGAAGCATAGTTACATGGCTCAGTGCCTGTCTACGTGGGTTATTTGGAATAATACGGAGCTGGTTGCCTCCCAGCACTTCCTTGAGTTTTTGTTGTCCACCACCCCTCATCACTCATGGATGGGGTGGTGACCAGCTGTCAACAAGGCACTTGTGTTGAATGAACGGCCCCGACCCAACATCGGCGACGCTACCATGGTACACGGGGCTAGTCTGATAAGTGGCTTTCTCATAAGACAGCCGCGTACGCACAGCAGCGGCATTCTACCGAAAACTGGCGTGATTGATATTCTAAATAAAGCCACCGATCATCGCGGTATATGGTTAGGTGCAAGGCACAAGGAGAACTTTTTCGTATTGAGCGTGTATCAGAGTAGGCCACCGCACCTCCTGGGATAGATTATTTCACTAGGATGTCACATACTCGTTGACTGGTGAAATGAATGGCATATAGAGCTTCGACTTGCTCTTGACTGGACGTGAATACGGACCATGCACCGAAAGCGAGCTGGCTCAGTGGTGGCGGACTGGATGGTCCGTGGTTCGTCCGGACTTCTGCCTCTCGACTTCCTCTGTCTAGGCGATATCCCAGCCCTCGTACTTTCTTCGGTTGGCGTGGCAGTTAGGCGCTGAAAGGATGCTACAGCTGGATCGTCTGTGGTTTTCCAATATGTGTGAATTTCAGTTTTGGTTGCAATCTTCCCTTGGGATTTTCGGATCGCGAGTTCTGTCCATCTTTACGGACCAAGTTCTTCGGTCGGATGAGACTCGGGTAACCTGTGGATGCTTACCACTCATATTCCCCCCGACTGGTTCCCGGTCAGACTTTAACACTGCTTATAAGTTTGCTTAGAACTCTTCGACATCCCAGGACCGGTTTCGCCCTTCTTGGGACCCAGCAAGTAGGTACACTCTCGAAGTTTCGGTCAACTTTATGTTCTGCCTGAACCAAAATTGGACAGTCTTTGGCAAATGCTCTCATTTACGCACCAACTTGGTTGTGATAGGTGACGCAGGTGAATCCAGCTGCATCTCTCGTTTTTGATAGCCTGCTTATGAGTAGTGTGTTACGTGTAGACAACAACGTATTGCGATATCCTGCATGTCGTACCAACTGAAACACGAGGCAACCCGATGCAGCACAGTAAGTTGAAGCGGGCATCATAAACGAGAGATTCGGCCTGATTTAATTGAGCTCCTCGGCAATACCAACTTCGTGTGCAAATGAGGGTATATGTCGGAAACCGTATATTCATGTTGCCAATACTATAAACCTGTACGCTGTAGGCCTTCTACGTCGCGCGCCATCCCAACCTGACAATTTTCCCCACAGTATCATCCTGACCAGAAGCTGCCAACATCTGGTGATTGGGTTTGAATTCCACAATACCCTACAGGCTACACTGGCTGGGAGTGTCGTATTACCGGATTGGCATTGCACCCAGCCCCATGGCTGAACGAGCTTTACCAACACTACTCTACTTCACTAAATGCTGAATATGTGCTAGCTCACATCAGTTTTTCGAGATATATCACCAAGTACCGTCTGAAAATAGAAACGTGAAATCGCGAAAAACCTCAGGGCAGATCAAGAACTTCCATCTGAGGTGGAAGATGCTGCTACAGTCGGGATGTTCTGGACGCTTCTCCATCGTATTCATGTAACCCGTATCACACCCAATAATCTTACATGAACTATCCCTGAGGTGGACGGCACGCTTATATGTAACACCTTTGAAGAGGAGTTTAGGGTGTTGGTGCAGCACCTTAAATCGCTATTCAACTAGTTACCAACGCTATCCTGTATGATAGATACTCCACTCGGTCAGTTAAGTTCAGTCCAGTTTGACAACCGTGTGCGTGGTTATCGTGGTTCGGGTCTCCGCAGATTATGGTAGTGGTTAGTGTAATGTAGAGAGTGTATAGAAGAACATTGAAAAACACTAGATGAAAAGGAAAGCAGGTTGATCATTACTAACATCACCACCGGTTGCGCCTCCGGCGAGTACCTCCAACAATTCATGTGGCAGGTCTTTGATAGCCCACATCCGCAGACGTCAAAATCAATGCAGCCAAGATTCTTTGTTGTGTTCTTCATGCTCCGTCATGAGTTGCCCAAACTGCGGTACCTTCCACTCGGAACTCTCCAGGGCACAGCGAAGCAATCAGTCACCTGGTATACATACCTTACGGTCGAGCCGGTTTCATTGGTGCAGGCGAATCTACTCGCCGCTTGAGAAAGCAGCTGATTTGTTGCCCAAAACCATAAGTTGCACTCCAGCATTGTTAATTCCATATTCCCATCGTATGTTTGCAATACTTCGAAGACGCTGATAGTAAAAAACAAGCAATTTTCTCTTGTCTTTGACAAACAGCGACCAGGCTTCACAGCCGTTTGGCAGAACTTGACGCACTGTCGCGCTGTAGACCCTGCCTTTCACTGATAGGCTGAAATCGCGTTGACTCCAGAGATGAAGAAAAGCAGAACAGGCTTCAGGGGCTCTATCAGTCAACTCGTCGGGAATGTTGCTGCCCAACGTGGCGGGTCTCTGCTATACCTAGTGGCTTTGTTACCATGAGCAGCTTTGGTTGTCCACTCCCCCAGTATTGTACTGGTATTTTTCGCTTTGAAGGCCCAGAGTGTATGAGAAGAGAATTTAGATTGCTCGATGTACTTCGTCGTATCTACCGCATATTTTTCAAGTCTGCAAGGCCTTTTCCGGAAAAAATTTTCACACTAACGATAGCGAATGTTTCTTCAACAATTAATTCGATTACGAAGACAAGAAGCAGATTTTACGGACACCAATTGGGATGATGAACTCAAGAGAATGCACTCCGAAGACTTTCATGCACTTACGAATGTTAGAGTGACAATAGAAGGGGTATGAAGTAAACCTTCGTCACTTTTTTGGGGGAGAGACAATGTCACAAAGCAGCGCAATCAGCTCAACAGACGTTGATATGCTGATCCTTATGTAATTGTGGTTAACCGCTCGGCAAATTGTTCTTCAAGGCATGCCTTTCACCAAAGCCGAAGGTTGAAAGTCTTGGATAGGACATTTGAATCGTCCTTTGTAATCACTACGTTGACTGGTGGCTTTCTAGGCCGGTGTTGGAAGAGGGTTGGACCAACCGCATTTTCCATTGCGTGTGCTTTTCCTAGCCACCACTCCTGTGTCCGGCGAGGTTTTAGAAATTCGCCGAGTGCTGTTATCATCTCGGTGGAGCCGCCTTCTTTAACTCAATCAGTGAAACCGGTCTTTTTGGGATCCAACTTGACTTGGACCGTGGCTTCATTCTGTTATGCGCAGTCAAGCGCCGAATTCTTAGCGTTTCGGACTCTCAACCAGTCATTTTTGGCAAATCGGCGTATTTCGCGTTCGTAGGTTGTCTAGACAGCTGCTGCAAACGTGAACTTAGGCTGTTCGAAAGGGATGATCAACACGATATCGTCGGTTTTAGCAACGTGATTTGTGGTCATTTTGATTGCTCTACTAATTACGGTTCGGCCAACGCAGTGTTCACGTTTGTTCTGAGAGTTAGCTTTTGACAAATAGATGGTCGTGAGCACATAGTTTTTGGAAGCAATGACCTTCTTCGATTGTGCGAGCATACACACCAAACATCCTACCGAAAATTATCCAATGCCTGTCGATTTTTTCCTAATGGGCATAAAAGCTACAGCTGCCTGGTTTTATGAATCCAATCAAACAGACCGTTTGAGTCCCCACTCAAACGGAATACCCACACAACTGGCACCACCGTGAGCTGCTTTTGGACCACCCGACACCCGGAAGGTAAACCGTGAGTAATCTGAGCTGCCTTGGACCGTTTCCAGATGCATTCCCATACTTGGGTTTTGTATGCGTGTCTCTGAGACACAGCACGTATCGATTCTTAAGGAAAAAGGGTGTGAAGTAGGGAGTCTGTTGACCCCACTGACAGGAATTACGGACATTAAACGATGCTACTCCGAACAGATCCCATGGTGTTAGTAATGCAAGTTGAGGCTATTTTTCGTTTAGGTGACTAGGAATGGATGCTGAATCTATAAAGGCACCAACAGATAAGGTTACACTGGCATGGTTAGTCTTGAAGTTTCGGCCTGATAAGTTAGAGAGACTCGCCGCTGCTTCTAAGCGGTGTGGAGAGATGTTACCTCCGGTTTTCCCTTTGACGAAAACAGGGGCTTGTTTGATGTTGTACCTCACTGTGTGCAATTTAAGACACCGGTGTCGGATATGAAAACACCTCAAAAATGCGTGTTTGGTCTTTGGCTAGTTCGCTGAGCTGGGCAATTTGGTTGCAAACGTTTCATTGCCAATCGAGGTGACGTCATCAGTGCGTTATTGGGGAGCGTAGTGGTGTGTAGCGGTGGGTTAGTGGTTCGGGGAGTTAACTCCGACTAGAGCCCCAAGCATGTGAACCAATCAAAACTTCAAGTAAGAAAAGTATTCAGAGCATTTTATTATAAATTTTCGGTTTTTTTCTGTGGATGGTGGGAAGCAAAATTTTGACTGATTGACTGGGCTATCTGTTCGAATTGCGTGAATGTCACATTGTTTGTGCTTGAGTTATTACGTTGAATCATGTTTGCACTGCCAGAGGGAAGGTATCGCCCTTGGCGCCAAACAACCGAGGTGCTGTGAAATCACTGAGCAAATTGACGCACACTGAGGGGCAAACTGATCTGCATTCATAGAGAAAAACTTTTTGAGCAGATTGAGCTAACTCAAATTGTCGATGTCATGTCCAGCATGCATTGACTCAGTACAGGAATCATTCCGTCCATCGAGTAGATGTGGGAGGCTTCTGTTGATTCACCATGCATACAATAAAGTGCATTTCCACGCGAGTGCAAGTATTTACAAGCCTGTGCCTGAGTCACCATATTGGATGTACGATTTTGCCGGGAAATTTCAATATCATTAGCAAATACTTTAATAGGGGTTGCTTTTAGGATCACACAACTGCAAGAGAGTGAACCGATGCGGTTTGAATCAGAGTGCGTCCATCTACATTGTTGAGAGTGGACCCCCATGGTAACTATGTGAACTGAGCTAAATAGCTGGAAATTCTGACTCACTTGCTAACCGTAGCTTTTCCCATATCTTGAATCTGAACACGACCATTCTTTCATTGAAGCATGTACAGCTAAATAATTCACCCTCCATCCGGATACTTTCAAGCATACTGAGTGCCTGTATGTAACCATATCTGGTTCCAGACTCTGAGATCTGATTTGTTTTCTCAACTCGGCTGCATAATTGTTCCAGAAGGATGACCTCATATTGCAGAGGGATGTGCTAATTTCAGATTGATGTCATGTAGCCCTTCGATCGAAAGTGTGCCTCTTCATTAAGAGACTGCGTTTTATTGTGATGTGACGCTTTATGCTTTCCTATGACCCTGTGAACTACAATCGGGATCGTTCGTTTTATGGCGGCTGTGCCTCTGGTAGCAGCGCGGTCAGTCAGTAAAGGTCAGACAAAAATAATTTTGTGGTTTTATGGTTATGAGGTTAGAGTGTATAGAGTAAGTTGAGCCACTGTTTCTCTTGGACAGACTTCTGACCGAAAGTTTCTGGTTGAGGACCCTACCTCAGTTTGCACTTGCTGGAAGTACTTCACCCCGCGCAAATTATGAAGTGCTCCAACCGCCATGTGATGCCTTTCGGTGGGGCACCTTACCCGCTGTATGTAGACTGTAATACCACTTCGTTCAACAGTATGACAGCTCCTAGCTCCAATCAGGGGTCACTTTTCTACGCCCCAGCCTACGCAGTACTAGCCTGTACTGGCATCCGCCACTTCGTGACCACTTTTCGATCCTCGTTACTCTGTTTTATGACATCCCCTGAATGTTCCAATCCTCATAGTTATGCGGCTTCTCTGTGACATCTGTATCACTATGCTAACGAAATTTTTATTCATTCTTATTCGTTTCTTTTTAACGGCTTTCATGAGGTCAACGTGCTATTTTTTTCCTTTTCGGATATAACAAACGCTCCAGCCGTTCAATACTTCAGCAGGTCCGTAAGAGCACAACATGGATCTTGTAAAACGGCTATCGTCTCCTGTCGTGTATGTAGGTCTTTGAGAGCCGATGTCAAACAAGACAATCTATTATTCGAGATAAGCTTTCGGGTCTGCTGAGCCTGCATTCACATTCATTTCATTTGAGCAGTCCTGCTGTTATGGGACAACAAATCCGATTAGTCCGTGATTGGCGCGAGTGGGAATCACTAGACTCAAATTTCGTTCCGTCAGCAGTGTATATTCATGGCATTGTCTGAATTTGAGCTGTAAGCCCTTAAGCTGGTCACCTTTAATGTCGACCGTCCGGAGATCAGATTCTGATTGGAGATGTGCGCTGCTGATTCAGAAGGACCTCAGAGCTAATCCACTTCCCACCGAACACCTGTGTAGTTTCAAGACATCATTCGATTACTACTCGAAAGGTTTATTCACCTGTCTACGGAGTCAAGAGGCCGGATTTCGATAGTTTAGTGCAGATGACCACAATGTTCACTAGTTTTTTGTATGGCTGATGTGATGCGTGCTATTGCTGAACTCGTCTGGTGGGTGGTCTCTGGCATTTCAGAAATTTTTATTCTTCTGCTCTCCAGTCCTATTCTATCGATTCTGTGAAAGAATCTGGTCACTTTTCAACCACTTGTCTCCTTGAGCCGGTTGGGATTTTACTGCAAGAAAAGTTGCAGCGTAAACTTTTCACATTTTAGGACTGTCGGCTACGTCGAAAGATTTGCGGCAAGACTGGGCTTTGTTACTCCTCCAATGCGTCCGGAGTTGGCGGGATCCCGCTTGTTCATGTGGACCACGATGCTAGTAAGCGATTTTTGTAGTTTTTTTCACTCTCCAGCCCTGACAGACATATTACAATTTCGTCGTTCCTAGTGTGCTGAGTTACTACTCTAATTGTTCGCGGCTTTGAGATTTTTCGGAATGAGTTTGGTGGCAGTATGATCGCCGAGGCACCATAAGTTGGTACTTTTCAACTTTCATTGAGAAGTCTATCCTATAAGGCTGCAAAATGAAACGTTTCTATACTCAGCCAGTCTTTCTGTCCCTCTGATGTATCGGCCACCGTATTATTCGTCGCCTAGGATGGCCGTAGAACCAGAAGCAAACCAATCTGTTCAAGTAGAGATGCTTTTATTTGGAAGGCAATTGTCTTTATACACTCTCTGCAAGTGGTCAGGTTTTGAGGTTCGTGCAACTTCCGATAAACCACCAATTGTTCGTCAACTGTTATATACTTCCAGCCCCCGCTTTCCCAGTTAGCGCAACGCAAAGAACATAAGATGCCCCTTCACTTTTTCCATTTCTGGAATGTTCTGTCCTATGTAACATCGCTTATCGCATGTCACTAATTTCGTTAAACAAAGCAATGGTCGGTCGAGGCACTTGATTGTCGTTCCGTTATTTACTCTATACAATAACAGTATATAGTTCACTCCTGGAAATTATTACAACAGTTTTCTGATGCATTTCATACCAGTTAATTCTGGATTACAGCGAAATGCCACAAAATCTCAGCATGTGTTCCCGAGAGAGTGTACTTCTAAGACAACATGATTGTGGCCCGGTCCGGAGGATACGCGATGTACTGCCCGGATGAAACATAGCCGTCTTGTGTTTCTTGTTTTGTTTTAGAATACGTTAACCTAGCTACTCGTGAAAGTCCATACATCTCCAAATGCGAGTTCCACTAGTCTGAAGAGGGTCTGTGCCAATCAAACACCATCTGATTTGAACAGTGGTAAGCACCGAAGAGAAAAACAAGCACATTCCTTTTCGTGTTCACATAAATCTGAATCCTGTGTGCCCGTTAGGCCGGTCCTTTTCTTTTCTGATCATAGAGAGGTGGCGTACTTTTTGGTTGAGTGATGTTCATAACGGTGAACATTACCAGTCACACGCTGCGCTGGCTACTTTCATGCTGTTTCGACACATGATTGCCGATCAATAGCGAACTCCAGTTGGTGTGTGTACTGCAACCCTCACCATTGACTGCTTTGTACCCCTTTGGGTTGTTTGAATCGAAATCGCATTGGTAAGCGTGCATCTGTGGACAATAAGGAGATTTTCTAATGGTTTTCCAGTTAGCATCAGAAATCACGCGGTTAAGATAGGTCTTTTCGCGATCGCTCGGTTCTTCTGAGCGAGCGAAGCTGGCATTTGGTAAAGCTGCAAGGCTCTCGTCAACTAGGGGCAGATTCGAGTGATGAGTTCCGAGCAATGGATTCGTATTGGGTAATCCATTAACGACCAGTTATCTATGAATTGGTCAGAATATTTGGTTTTTAGTATTGACCCTTCTCAACCCGCTGTCCTCTTGAAAAAGGCAGCAGAATCCTGAGGGACATGGGAGCGTTCATGAGAGGAATCAGGATATCCGTTTCATTTGGTTCGGTAAGCTTGACGGACTACTGATGGTCTGCAAAAGTAATACGTCCGCTATTCCTTCATAGAAACGTCGTCTCGGAGGAAGCTTTGAAGGAAGTTTAAGTTGGTTCTCGTCAATGCAAACTTTAAGAGGACCGCTTGAGGACAACTAACCGAATTAATCGGTGTTGAATTTTAGAAAGAAATTCTTGTTTAGACGTAATACACCACTTATAAGGGTGCTGAAAGCCAGTGCTGATAAGCCAGTTAGTGTTGCACGTTTCCGGCACTTTGTAAACACCACTGTACTACATACTCTGTTTGAGGACAGACGGTCCTGTGATTCACAGTCAACCGGGAGTTCTGTTTCAGACATTTCGGTATGTGCATCAAAGCCAGCTTCAGGTTTGCGAAAAAACTGTAGGTTGATTTCACCTACTGAGAGAGTTACTTTCTTCAGAGTTGCACCAAGACAATTAACTGACCTATCAAGTAGTTTTCAGCAACCTCATGAATAATGTGTTACGCCTATTCAATGTATCGCGATATCTTGAATATCATACCAACATGAATCAGGCTGGTACAGCACATTCAGTTGCTTAGCAACATCATAAATGGGTAATTCAACTGGTTCCCGGTGACGATATCTTGAATATCATACCAACATGAATCAGGCTGGTACAGCACATTCAGTTGCTTAGCAACATCATAAATGGGTAATTCAACTGGGTTCCCGGTGAGTCTCCCGTCAAAACCAAATTGGTTCAAAAAAATGAGTGTTTGTCGAAGTTCTTGTTTGTTAGTGTATCGACTAACACTCAATACAGATGGATTTTGGATTTTATCATCACAATGAATCAGGATTTTGGGGCCCACACTTCCGGTCTAGGACACTTTAATAATCCTCTTGCGTGTCGTTCACAAGTTGTTCAGTAACACGCCTATCGATTAGTTACCAAACCTTTCCGAAGCCATGACCGCTCAGACGATTCTCAACATCCTACATGTGATGGGCAATGGCGAGATATTTGTAACCCGCCTGACAAAGAATACGCGACTGGTCAGAGCACGTTAGAGGTGATTACGCTGTTCAAAAGGAACTCAGGAACACCATGCAGAAACCATTTTGCAATCTGTTTTGTACCGTCCAGTGTTTGCGGACGCTAACAACCACAAGTTCATCGACCCCAGCAAAGTATGTCCAGAGAAGATCAAGCATCAGTTGAATCAGACACTAAGCCGTGTTGTCTACATATACAATTTTTCATTGCGAACTGCCTTCATGAGCACGAGTTACATGCAACAATGTCTTTCCATGCCAGCTGGCATGCGATTCATCGATATTACTACTAAATATAGTCGACTGGCACCTGTTTTCGAATTCGCTTGTCGTTGAACGAAGCCGCGCTCATCGGATATGGGTAGATGCCTTTCGCGCGGGGCCCTTGGTCTGGTATCGACAAATACATATTTGCGCATTATTTTGGTTTTCACGGGAATTAACTGGATCTCTCGCTTATGTTTAAGTTTGGGAATCTTGTTGTGGACCCGTTTTGCGTCATCTGATAGTCCGACATTTTCAGTTTATCTAATGGTGTGAAAAAACGAACAGTTCGTTTATCACTAGGCGGACAAAGTCAACAGAACTCGTTTCATACTTATCAATCTTCATTGATTCGCTGCTTCACGCTTGTGTGACGCATGGCTAGTCACAATCCGTACACTTCCCGTAAGGTCTAACCAACCGTCTTGTCCGTCAATTCCGCACTCGATCATATCCTTGGTGTTCTACTTATAGAACGGATACATTTGTCCCTTTTTAACAACTTGGCGCTTTCTCCCCGCCAAATTTAATGATCGGTACTCCATTGTACTCATTTCTCAATCGATGAAGCAGCTGTTTCGCTTTGTTTCGAAACTTGGTGTTTGAATCGAGTGGTAGCAGTGCTTCCCGAGAGTAGTATTTCCTCCTTACCAACCAGTTTTGACAATTTTCCGTCCTGTTTGTCTAAACGATACCATTTGCGCTTCGCTGTTAGCATGTGCCGCGAAATCGATCGTCAAATTCAGACACCCTCTTGTTGCCTTCGGTGTTTACACTGTGAATTAGGCACATCGTCGGTTGTAGTCATGTGCTCGTCTATGTCAGTGCTGGTTTGTACTGTTTTTACTAAATGAACATTAATGGTTGAGATTGAGGTGTCGGACTGACCACCGTCATTATTTTTTCCCACTACAGTACGCTGCTTCATCTGTGGTTCTTGCAAATGGGTTTTCTAAGATCCCTATTGTGTTGCTTCTCACAGGGCTGGATAGTTTGTTTGAAAACACATGTTGAAGCGTTCTTAAAAAAAGAGCTGCTCAACCCTGACTGTTTATTTCTTACATCCCGGAACACCGTAGCTATTCGACCGTCATTTCGTATCCGCTATAGTGAACTACCAGATACTGAGGCTCCATATTAGATTATCAGCTTAGACCGGAATGGAGACGACCGAATTGAACGACGATCGACCCATCCTGTTTTTATTTGCCGAATAAAGATTAAATCCGTGCTTATATTTATCGCCAAAATATCCATCACTTTAGAGCTCTTTTCAGTTCTATTGATTAGCTGTACCAGCCAATACTCATGTGCAGCCAATTGCGGCCCAAAACTTTGTTAACGCCATATATGTGCGTCTGCAAACTGTGGTCGTTTGAAGTGCTCTACAAAAGCCCACATTCTCACTTTTCGAATAGTAGGGAGAATTCGCAACGAAAGAATTAGGGGACAGATGTGTGTTGCAGCAGTAGTTCACGTGAAAAACAAGCTCGCGCTGTGAACTACAGGTATCACGTATGCCTCATTATTGTCCGCTTATAAGTGAACACCAAATTTAAGGTGACAACCAAGAGGCAGATAGTCCATAGATTTTTAGGAGGCTATGAAATAGATGAAAAAGTGCTGGAACATACCGGTGTAACCCGTATTTTGTTATGTGGTCAGCTTGGTTCTCGCAACATTTTTTATGAGGACACGCCGGAAGGCATGACTTCATAACCATCCAATAGTTTTCTTGAGCTCAGCTTCTGTGCCAAACTTCAAAGTGTTTGGTATTCTGACAACGGCGTGTTTATGGTACCGGTTAAGATGGATCAACCGAGTCGTACAGCAGCGGATCACTGATGTTGTTGCTCTGATGCTAGGTGAGTCAGGGTGACATCCTGTTTTATGCGATCTCCACACACGGGGGGCCGATCGGAGCTGAGATCGGGAGAAACTACGTCGACAGAGAGCAGCAGAAATCACTTGACTCCAAACTTACGATTTCTTCACTTGAATATTGTTGGCTGCCATTACCTCGCGTAGATGCTGAACCACTCATGTTTTAAATGTAATGGCTCTCTTCTTGTGTCTTCGTTTTACTGTTTATACTTGTTTTTTGTTTCAGGGACGCATTACTGGAATTACCATCGGTTGTCTGCTTGGTTTGCTTCCTTTGCTATTTTTCGAGCGGGATAGAGATACAGAAAGCACAGCGCCAAAAACCAAATCTTGATAAGTGCCAAGCTATAAGAACAGAGTTCCATGGAACAACCGTTTTCTCCATGGTCCGTGTCAGTGTTGACCTTTAACTTTTTCTATATTTGTACCCAGATCCAGCATTTTATAGTCAATACTCTCCTTGTGATTACCGTCCAGTCGCTGTAACCATCCAATCAGACGCAACCATTTTATTATCCTCGTAACCATGCTTACCAATCGGTTGCCTTGTTGTTGTTGTCTTTCTTTTTATATGACAATCGCTTTGTATGAGTAGTTTTCATGTGTGCACTTCGTGGTTTGAAAGCACTGTGATCTGACTATCCTGTTGTCGATTATCAAGTGGGATGTAACTGTTTTCTAGCATTCCATACATGCTCTCATTCCGTTTACTAGCTCGAATCGATGATAACCGACATAGTTGCCACTGGTAACCTATGTTTCAACCATCTGGCTGATGTCTTCTGTTGACTATTCCTTCAGCTCATACCTCAAGTACACCAGGCCACCTTGCAGATGGAATTTCACTGGGAATAAACAGATTTGTCAACGCTGATTTGTAAACCACAATCCAGGTTACATGGTGTACTGTCGGTCAGTTTCCCAATTGGAGAGAGGTATAATGCCTGGACAATGGGTGATTAAACGCATCAAGGCCTCCCTAAATTCACTCTCAATCTCACCCTAAACTACCAGAGGCTCATTTTGAAACCTCTATTTTTCAATTTCCTCGCGGTGTGGAGCCATTTTCGAGCCAGTCTGAGCGAAACCCCACTCAGTCAGTAAACGAGGATACGAGGGGGATTTGTTTCTAGAAAATACATCGGACAAGTGCTTAGTAGCGTAAACCAAACAAAATAAAACCAGTATGCTCACACCTGTTGGCGACCTAGTGGGAGATTGCTGAAACGCTCTTGATGCTGCCAAATCAGTGTCCCAGGAAACCAGCGGTGTAAAGTAGGGGCGAATTGCTGGTGGGCGATTGAAACGTACGGAGGGTTGCTTACCCGTGAATGGTTTGCTGAACGGACGAGCCGCCTGAGGAATTTCGTATCTGCTTACAAAAGACGTTCACGTTTGGATATTGCCAAGTTATCCAGGCCTAGACAGGAAGAGGTCGGGTTCGAACCACGGACTTTTCGGTCAGTAAATTCGAACTCCAGCCATCTCGGCTACATGTTATTCTGAAGGTCTGTTTCGCTCCGCTTACCGAGAAATGTAAACATCGGCCAGGATGTCAGCAGTAATCATATCACCGGTTAGCTGAATTAACGGCCAGTGCACAATGCTTCAGTCGGTGCTGAACAAGGAGTCGAGAAAGAGCTCTACGAATACACTCACGTGCACACCTCAATCTTGTAACGAGTTTGTTTTCGAGACAAATCCTTTGAAGTGATATACAATAGTGGATAACCACGATGCTCCAGTACGCCTTCCAATAAAGCTCTGGCGGTGTCCCCTTTTTGGTGACGAATAGTTCCATTCTGCCCAGCTCGGTGAACAAGCCGACCAATAAATTAGGGTCGGTGACACACGATACTTCCAGTGCGGTTTCTACATGTGGCATAAATATGTCATTTTTGAGCCAGAAAATGTTTCATCTTTCATTTCGAATGCTCTATTACCCCGAAGGGAGATCACATTGGAAGAAACTCCCTTATGCAGTGTTGTGAAAGCAGCGCTCACGCAGAAGGCCACCAATTTCCTTCGCGTCGCGAACATTTATTATTGTCAAGTGGTGCACTTACCCCGAGCATCCGGCTGACTCGTTATCCGGACTCCACCCGTTATTCTAACTTCCGATAAAATTGGTTTCCATTTCTAATGAGATTGACACACTTGGACGCAAGCCTTCTTAGGGTGCCAGTTCTCAATCATTGAACGCCTTGTGTACGAGCTGCGCACTTTTGACAGTGGGTGGTGAGATGGACCGGAAGGTCTGTGGTTCGAAGCCGACCTCTGCCACTCGACTTACCCTGTCTAGGCTTGGGCAACCTGGCAGTATCCCAGCCCTCGTACCTCCTTCGTGTGGCATGGCAGCTAGGCACCAAAAAGGCTACAACTGGACGATTTCTTTTTAACTTTTGACAGTGGTTGGATATTTCGATCGTCACGCTACTATGATTGTAGATCGAATAAAGATGCTGTTTGACCGTATCATCTACCGGTATCATCGCTGATGCATCCGTCATAATACCCAACACGGATTGCTTCGAACCTATAAGACACTCCAGACAATATTTACCGGAGTCTTGATAGGTTTTTCTGTAATTAAAGCTTTTTACGAGAGATCAGCTTTCGTGTTTGTCGCTGAATCAACCGTTACAGAATCGAACCAGCAAGCTCGAGGCTGCTCAACCGTTAACTCACTGGCCGGAAAGTACATGGCTCGAACCCAACACTGATATTCCGACTGCTCCGCTCTATGATTGGGTAACACGGTTGGTGACATGGCAGCTAAACACCGAAAGGGTGTTACAGCTGAACGAGCATCAAATCAGTATGGGTGACCTAGTCACTCAAACCAACAGCATGAAGCACTGCTAACACCTTTATGTTGGTATCCGTTTCATGCTCCATTTTCATCACGACAGTTCAGCCCATGACTGTTGCTGGTCGCAGTTCAACAGCGGTATGCAGTTCCGGTGTATTGGTCGTTGATTTGCTCGCAGCTTGTCAGTTAGCTTGCACGGCTGTAATACTGTCAATACTGAGTGCCGATGTAGTTCGGATAAAACTGTGTGCGACCGACGGAGTCGGTCGGTCGGGAGATGGTTCTCACACAATCTGTAACCACGGTTCACCCAATAATAGAAATAACACTTGCTAAAGATTAAGATACAATTTGCCGTCCTCACCGTCGACATTCGGTGTGTAGTTCGTTGTATTCTGATCAAACTAATAATCAGTTCGTTTAGGCACGGAACTTAAGCTTCATTCTAAAAAGGTAGCTTGATGCTCGGACGAAGAAATTGTTTCTTCTTTCACACAGTTTCGTTGAAGCCAGAGTTGCATGTCTGTGATACACTCAATAGAACATGTTGATGTCATTCCATGAACCATCGATAACATTACCATCACTTTTGTTTGACAATCGGCTGAGTCACATGCAAATAGCAGAATCAGTACGGAGTCTGAACTTGCGGCTGACAGTAGGCCGGCACTTTCACGCGCTATTGTTCTTACATTTCTGTGTATCGACGGGCGATTGGTGTCCATACACCATCACACTCGTACTCTCATGCTGTTGACCCACTTTGTGTCAAACTTCGCAATCACGTCGGAACTGGATACACCGGTTCCTCACCTGTGCGCCGCTTTTCTGTCCGAATCAGTCAGGCAGCTGAGCACCCCATCAACTATTCCGACGAAACTGGACAAGTATTGAGAGTCCGAATTGGTTTACTTCAGAAGAGAAGAATTAAAGACTCGGACGAACTAACCGCAAATAGATACGGAATACCCTCTCATCTGCTTACATGTTCAGCTAGGTTTTTTTCATTATGCGAGGCGTTTTTATACAAAAGATAACCTAGGAAGCCTCAAAAACGCCTAGTGGTCCTAGCCTGGATACTACTCGTCTATGGGCTTAGCTAAGATCAAATCAACTCATTCTGTTGCAACCCCGTTTTGGCACGTAGCTAGCAAACATTGGTCATTTGAACAAACATTCAAATGCATGAGAATGAGGCATCACATGCAGTTCTTTTGCTCCGATGTTCTCGAGCGAAGATCCATGATTTTCGGTAAAGTGAGACTGCTTGTGAATCCCTAGTACAAGGTTTACGTTACTACAACACTGAAGATTCCTAAACATAATCGAAGTGGATAGTGTACGGTGTCCATCTGCTAAGCTACCACAAGGCATCTTGTCATGAACAAAAGCCCAACGACGACCTAACCAGATAGTGACACGCACCTAGATAGCGTGTTTGAGGTTAATTGCCAATCAATGACCACATAACGAGATATTTTTAGAAACCAGATTCGAAAGAAGATTGAGTGGTGCATATGATCTAACCATCCAGCTGTAAAACCCTTTTAGTGTCTGCTGCAAAGCCACCCGAAGGAAGCACGAGGACACTTCCAGATAGTCGAAACCGAGGTTCGGTTTGAACCGCGAACCTTTCGGTTTGTAAGTTCACACCTTAACCACCTAGCTACCTCCAACTCTACGGGCACACCAATCATTGTCTAAACTGAGGATTCACGCATGACAGTTTAGTATAAGTATCCATAACTGGTGTGCTGTTCTTGATGATGACGGTGACTATGAATGAAGTTAGAAACAAGCAGACACTGTCACAGGTGACTCAGCAGTCAGGCTATCAGGCATTGTGCATGGCTAAACGGTTTCATATAAACCGTTCAATAAATAGTCATCGTCGTCAGAGAGAGGAACTTCAGTGTTGACAGTGATACTTCGCTGCCGAACGACCACTAAGTTTATGTGCTTGGTCGACCTGGCCTCTGCCTCTCGACGTCCCCTGTCTAGGCTTGGGCAACCTGGCAGTATCCCAGTCCTCGTGCTTCCTTCAGGTGGCGTGGCAGCTAGGCCCCGGAAGGGTGCTGCAGCTGAGTGATTTAATTAGTACTTTGAAGTTAAAAGGACAAAAAAGAGCGGATGAGTGATGGACCTCGTGTTACTATAACAGTCTCTTCCTTGTCACTACAAGGAAGATCACTAGATCACGCGGCTCCTTTGTTCCGCAAACACTCAGCACACGGGACAAAACCCTGTCCAGCTTGGAACCTAAGCTGACAACAAGTTAGTTCCCATCTTGTAGACGTCCGAGCGATTCCAGGTATTATACACACGTTAAACCTTCCTATATATAGGAAGACACGACACAGCCACCACACACATACACACGCGCGCAGGGGACAGGGAGTAAACACCTATCAGTGCATATATCTTTTGAGTTATATTATGGCTATCATCAACTGTGTACTCATAGTACCTGCCTCTCCAAATGCACAATCAGCCCGGAAAGGAATCGACAGCAGGCGCTACCTACATCAATTAGCTACTATTTCATGCAGTGTCTCCAGCCTAGCATCGCAAGAGGATTATGGGGACTTCATCCTGGAGAGCGTACTGCACCAACAACTCTCGACCCCCAAGTAATCCCCTTCAAACCCTTCTGTCGTCACACTTTCAACCTCGTAGTGTGCGTAATAAATAGCCCAACCGATAACAGCCTAGTTCTCACCGGTAGGTAACAAATTAAAAATGTCGTAGTAAATAAGCTGGGAAGGTGGGTCGAAAAAATTCAAAGAACGGATAAAAAGCATTAGCAAATGTTACTGTAAATCACGAAGGATATGTAAACCAGTCTGGATAATCTTCATTCATATGCCCTCAAGCATAATCGCCGAAGCACCGCCACCGCCATTGCAAATCGACGCGATCCCTTTTTCGCCTGGTTTCAAATGTAACGCCAAATGGTTAGTTATTCTTGCTCCGGACATCCTGTGGAGGTTAGGGAATGTGCAATGGGTGACAGTAAGATTATGCGATATGAAGCGCATTAAAAGTGGTGAAAAAACAGAAGCAGCGTGAGGGGCAGTGAATGTGGAACTTAAACATTTAATACCAACACCAACAAGTAGGTCGTGATTACTGAAAAGTTGTGTAATGTCTTAACAGTAGTGCAACTGCTATGGCGGTCCTGGCTTCCTATTTCGCCCACTATGATGAATCAAAAAGCACAGTAGCTTGAAAAGCTTTTATGGAAGTAACAAAAGCCACTGCAACTTTACCGATAGAGTTATTTAGGAAACCACTACAAAGTCACGTTAAGATCCCTCTGACGGGATGAGTGTGAACGTTCGATCCCGATTGGCTGACATACTGACCAATCAGGAGCTGCCTTCATTAGCTGTGTAATCAGCTGGCGAAACATCAGTACCATCGACATACTGGTCGGCTATCTAGAGCAGCTTGCCTCCGGACAAGTTGGGATCAGTGAAACTAAGAGATGCCACTTGCATAAGAAGAAAAGGATGGTGATGTGTTTCTTGGTCAGTGTCTGTCTAGCTCATTTGGGTCCATCTGTGAGACCATCCCAAACAACTAGAGTGATTCGATAATATTGTCCATTTTCAAAAAAAGCACTCACAGTAAATGTAGCAACTACAGAGGTATTAGTTTGACTGCAATTGTAACGGCTTCTGAAGTTACTGATTCCTCGGCGTCTTATGGTCGCACGCGAAACCTTGACTCTTGGGAATCAAGCGGGTTTTCGACTAGGTAGAAGTGGCGTCGACCACATCTTCACACCCCGTCAGGTGTTGGACCAACGCCCCATATACAGAGGACCCGCAATCTTAGCGTTCCTCGACTTGAAGGATCCGTTCGATCCTGTCGATCGGTCGCGTCTTTTAACTGCACTTACCCAACAAAATATACCCCAGACGTTCGTGAACATAATCCGATCGCTACACTTATGTACTTTTGGGCGTGTAAGAGTGCATGGTGCGCTCTCCAGAATTCTTCCCTACAAAAAGTGGTGTCCACTCTATCTATTCTTGTTCAAACCAATCGCTGAAATAATGAGCCGGGGGCTCGGAGGCCTTCAACCTCCCGGGTTTCAAATGGTTGCTAGTGAGAACCTTGTCGACCTGTAGTAAACAGAAGACATCGCCCTCATCTTTGAAAACCAATACGAAGCAAAAGCCCCCGGGTGAACAGACTGAACACCGACATACCAACTTTCGGCACGCAACTTGCACCTTCCAAGGGCAAAGTCATGCTTAAGAATGTGTAGTCTCTGAATGTACCGCATACAATTCAAGGAGAATCACTGGAGGTTGTGGGGAATTTTGTACACGTTGATAGTTGTATTAGCTCTGACAGAAGTGTGTCTGATGAGTCGGGACACGAATCTCAAAGGCCCGAGTGACGTTTGCCAATTTGCGTCATTTGTGGTGTTACAAAGGCATTTAACCGGGTCTCGAGGACCGCATGTACCAGGCTATTGTGAGAGCTGTGTTGCTGTGAGGGTGCGAGACGTGGCCCGAGCGGACAGAGGATGTGAAGCGTCTTCAGTTTTTTTTTACCATGGTTGCTGGTTTTGGATAACGTCAGCACATTAGCAACGAAGTAATAAGGAAACAGGTATTTGGTTGTGCGGCAGGTACTTCAATCGCGGAAAATATCCAGCACCATCAACTGCGGTGGCTGGGTCATATGCCACACATGCCAAAACGCCGTCTACTGAGACGAGTATTGTTCTCCGTGCCTCCTTCAGAATGGTACAAACCGCAAGGTGGACCACGAATGTTTTGGTGGAAGGGTGTGAAAGAAATCACGAGACGTTTGTGGATTGTTGGTGCAGTACGCCTTCCATGATGGGACCCCCCGTGACTCCACATATGCTTGGCTGGAGAAAAGACGGCTGATCGATTTCAGTGGCATTCATGCTGTCCGTTTCTTTCTATATTGTTCGACTGGGCGATTGGAGGTGTAAGCACTTCAGAATACTTGACACCGGTCAGCATCAGTTTCTTCCTGGTTGTTGGTCTGTTCGCCTAGCTTGGCAGTTGGATTGCAACCGTTTCATCACCAATCGAGATGACATCGTCAGTGCAGGGTTGAGTGGGTGGATTCCTCCTCTTCTGCCTGTGATTATATAGCTTCTAAACAGTATTTGGTAGTTCTGGAGACGGTCGTCATGTAGTTTGATTGATCTTCTGTGAATATCACGTGGTCTCAACCTCCTGTGTCTGGTTGGTTCGTTGGGTGCATACAATTCAGCAGTTCTGTATGTGGTTGTCATGCTGTGATTCGGTCGTTTCCTTCTTGCTTTGTTGGGTGGGTTTTGCTCATTTGATCGGTCTTCTGTTTTTCGTGATTGTCTTCCTTTGACCCAATTACTCCGTTGGTTGCCGTTAGGTTTCTTAGCTCCGAGTCCCATGACCGTGTGGTTCTTTAGCTCGTAACGGCTGATAGACTGGGTCAATGTCGATGTGTTTATTGATCGATTTTTGTGTGGAGTACCACGCCTCGGCAAATTCTCGTTCTCGTTTTGTTCTTGCGTGAGCGAGTATTTGAACATTGTCCCAAATGAACGTGTGTCCTTCTCCGTCTTCGTGGATTGAGACGAGTGATATAGGGTCATGTCTTCTACTGGCAAGCTTGTGTTCGTGTATTCTCGTAGCAAGTTTTCTTCCCGTTTTGCCAACATAATGTTTGTCGCAGTCGTTGCATTCAAGTTTGTAGACCACGTTAGTCTTCTTCAAAGCATCCAAAATTCCCTTTGGTTTCGAGAGGGTTCTTCTCAACGTGTTTGTAGGTTTAAAGGCGACTGTAATTCCATGTTGCCGTAGGTGTCGTGCAGTCATCTCCATCACGTTTCTGATATACGGCAGCGCAATCTTCCTCTGTTCTGGTTGTGTTGACGGATCAGCCTGATGTTGGTCTCGTAAACACCTCCATATGAAATTCCTCGGGTAGCCGTTATTTCGGAATGTCTCGAAGAGTCTTCGTTCTTCTTTTTTCTTCGCCTCTGTTGTGTTGCAATGTGTCTCTATCCGCTTGAATAGAGTTCGAACACAGCTCCGCTTGTGACAGTTCGGATGGTTGCTGTGGTAATTCAGAATCTGGTCAGTTTCTTCCCTCACCCACTATTTTTTCTTCTTTTCACTCACTTCCCTTATGAAAATATATTGCGGTATCTCGAATACCGTGCCGACTGAAACATTAGGCGGCCTTTGTGCAGTACATTCAGTCATAAACGAGAGATCCAGCTGAACTTTACCCGGTTGATATGCAAATAAGTTTGTCGATAATTATGGTTGTAGGGCAGTGAAGCATCAGTGTCAACATTGATGTTGTTGCTCCGATGATAGTGATGCATCCGCAAGCAAAATTATTATGCTACATGGCACCGAGTCATGAAACCATGAAATAAACTGAACTTTATGAATTGCCCCAGACCCTAAACATTCGGGGAGCGTTGAAAACACTTTATATGCCGACGAACCGTTAGCGCGACTGGCATTGTTTGCTCGAAACGAGGGAAGCACTAAGAACACTACATTGTATTCATCCGTGACAGCAGATATACGCACGTGAAGTTAGCGGACTAAGTGGACTCGAGTGGAACATCGATATCAGTCCACCATCAATGACGGAAGTAAGGTCGTGAGGTTTCATTGCTTCGGCGCAACAAAACACCAGGTCCAGACGGTCCGCATCCTGCACCCTTCACACGTGGTGAGGTCCGTGCGGCTACTCCATAATATTCAATGAGGACAACCGACACAATGATCGTCTTCCTCATATTCAAAAAGGGTGTTTTCTGGTATTAGCCTGCGCAGGTTAATACGTCATCCGGGATGTCAGATTCACGAGAATCAAGCTGGGTTTCATCGGGACTAGGATTGCATCGTTCATATATATTATCTTTGCGACAAATGCTGGAATCGCATCACCTAATTCGGCAGCCAATAGTTTTTTTTTAATTTTAGGTATGATTCTGACTCTAGTAAGCATCAGAAACAATAGCTGGGTCTGCGACGAAGAGTGTCCCTATATCCCTATTTCTGTGGAGGCATACGTGTCTACGGCAACTTCTCTCCCGAGTTCAATGCATCTCGTGGTGCTGGGCAAAGTTGTCTTCTGACGCCTTTTTCTTCAAACTCGCAAACCATATGCCAATTGAGTTATCATGACCTGTATCTAACACTTCATGATCGAAACACTCTCGGGGCATTAACTACGCCAATGGTATTGTTCTCCTTCGCATCGTTAAAATGTGAATCCTTACTGCAAGATTGGATGGCATCCAACCGACGCCTCACGTCTTCAGGTGAGCCATTCAACGTGCTACATACGTTCCAATAGCTGGGTAGTTGCATAAGTCCCGGTGTACTGACGAAAGGTGAAATCATCTTCCGAATTAGGGAGACCAGGACAGGGTTCGCTAACCTCTGGCAGTTATGTCGTCGTGAGATAAGCTCGACTGTCGACGGTAGAGTGTACAATGCTGGCGCATGCGGAAGACCTTCAGATACTCTGTGCTTGACTATCGGTGCCTCCGGATCGCTGCATTGGTTTGGTGAAAACACCAGATCAATACTGCAATACGACAGGTGTTTTACTCCATCTCAACAGCTCAGTTGGTCACACTCTACAGGTTACACTGGTTGGACCACGTACTCCGCATACCAGAAGACTGCTTGCCTAGCGGAGCCCTCTTTGCCCGAGTGACACTGACAGCTGCGACGCAGCCAATTGCGCTCTTACAGCAAAGCTATCGCTTTCACTGCATAGCTCTGAATTTTCTGGCATAATGGACAAACGGGTCCACTTGTCATCAACACACAGGTTGGGCCATTGCCATCAACGCCTCGCTCTCACTCCTTCATTCGCCTTATCCTAAGCGAACGAAGCTGTAGCAACCGGAAACTGCAATTCCATGCACAGCTTGTGAGCTGTAAAACCGAACCGAACTGAACGATCATACTTCAAAGTTGGGCTAAGTGACCGCTTCGAGCTCAAAGCATCAGACGTTTTCAAATATTGGATAGCTTCGTAGCATAACAAGCAATCGTTGCCTGCAGGGACTAGATAGTGCAGCACAATCGTTATGGAAGCGAATTAAGCTTATACATTAAGGCAGTTAGGACACGTACTACGAATGCCTAACCACTGTTTACCAAAGGAGACGTTTTCCATTCTAATTCTTTCCTAGTGCGGGTTAGCAGGAAACAGGTCACTATTCGGTAATGCGAAAGGTAAGGTGATGTAGTCCAACAGAGTACTGAGAGGTCTTCACGATTTCCCCGCTAGAACTCACGCCATATTCTTCGCGGGGGGCTGGAAACCCCGTAGGAACTCCATGCGTTTAGGCGTGACCACAGGCGGACATGCTAATAACTCCTAGTCAAACTGCGAAAGAATGATATCTGGCAGAGAGCGAGGAACAAGCTAAAAGTAGGATAGTAACTTCTCCAACGATCACCTGTTGCGCTGGGTCCGGACGACAGAGAATGTGTGTCGAGCGGTTACATGATATAGCTGACTGCGTCGTTCCCCCTTCCAAATCAAAGTGGTACGTGTCACATGAGAGAAGTTTGCTCATTGTAGAGCGTGACTTACCCAACCGGGTGACCGCAACTCACAGCTCCACCGTGCACATTGACATTTTTCACATCTAACCCCAGGAGATGCATATTGGCCAACACAACCGCAGAAAACGCCTCGTTAATCTCCCACAGGACAATATCCTCTTTTTTAACACCCGTAATTGTGAGCAGTTTTTCAACCGCTAGATGTGGAGCAATAGAAAAGTCAATTGTGTCGGTTGCCGCGTCCGCGTATGCTAGACAGTGGAAACGGAAACACAGGAAAAGCCCAGTCATAAAAACAATGGAAAACGGATTAGAATTAATACACGGGCATTCTATGTGGTAAAATGTGCGCATTAGACATCGAAACCATGACTATAGAACCTGCTTTCCTATACGGTGAGTGAGAATCTGGAAGCAAACTATGGATTAAATACCCGTTGCGCCTGGGCCCCGGAGAAAACAAGCTGAAAGTCTGTCTCATTCTGGAGAGGAATAAGTGCCTCCGCCTTTTGAAGACGTATATAATCTGATAACAAATAAGGTTAAGTTTCTCATGGAACAACCATGAAAAATTAGCAGCCCGCGACTGACCGACAAGTTTTAAGCAATGCTGAGTTGGATGTTACATCTAGACAGTTGTGGTATCACAACTATAGTACCAAACGAAACATTTAGGAAATATTCAGGAAAGGTTCACTTCGGGTCGATGGAAATTTGACTAGGTAAAAAATCTCACCTCTTGTCAGATTGTGCCGCGCCATTTTGTTGCCTTGGTAAGATATGACGCCAAATAGAGTTGTGCAGTTAAGCAACACGAAGATTGAGGGCATAGCTTCCTGGATTAGGCTGACAGATTGAGACCTACAACGAATCCACTTTCCACAACGTGCACGACGTTGTCCGTGGTGACAAGGCTGCCGCAACAAGGTGCGACACGCCACGGTCGGGGCAGACGAGTGATTATAGAAGATGTGCTGGGGTTGATGGGTTTTTAAGGTCGGGGACTGAGTAGATGTTCACAAAACTATCCTAAGTACGTAGTAGTACTATTATTCAAACGATCGGCGAACACGACCTCCATGTTTTACAGCATGAGTGATTTAGGGGGCTACTTCAACGACACGGCCTTACTTGTAAGCTCGATGACTCGACTCGGTGAGAAAGTGTCTTGTAACCGGATGTCTCGAGAAATGAATGTTTAACGTGTAGGTTTGCTAGCGTGATCAAGTTGTAGCAGGCCTGCATAGAACCAGTCAGTACTGGGCCCACCAAGTGGTCATGCAGACGAATGACTGAATCGAGTACATTTTTTTAGCTGGTTTCCCGAAAAGTCTGAGTATGGCCAGGTGAAAGGAATAAATTCGTCATTTGGAGCTCAGTAGAATCATCATCATCGTTCAGCTGTAGCACCCGTCAGGTGCCTAGCTGCCATGTCACCAGAAGGAAGCACAAGGGCTGGGATAATGCCAGGCTGCCCAAGCCTAGACAGGGGAAATCGAGAGGGAGAGCCGGGTTCGAATCATGGACCTTGCGGTCAGTAAATTCGCGCTCTAACCACTGAGCCATCTCAGTACAGTAATCGCAAAAGACTTCAAAACGTGGCAGAGCCCTAACCACCGCCTCCTCGTGGTGGTGTTGCCACTCAAATGAAGAGTGGGGAGGTGGATCAAGCGTTACAAGCTGGTTGGTAGCCTGTGGAGGAGAAGTAACTAAACAATGATTCCAAACCAATGATGACAGGAGCATGAGTCAGCTGCACTTCAGCTGTTCTCCTTCATTTCTTCTGATGCGTTACAGAATAGGCCTTGTTATACGAAGGCTAGAGATGCACACCACGCCAAACGTATCTATTTCTGAGGAAATCAGCGCCACCCAACACGCTGAATAGAGAGCAACTAATACCTAACAAATAAAGCAAACCTGTGACCAACGTACCGACAATCCGTGCCAGAGGCTTCAGCGTCCGATCTTTGGCGGCATAGCTGGCAGAGGCAAGGATAGCTGGCGAACACGACCTCCATGTTTTACAGCATGAGTGATTTAGGGGGCTACTTCAACGACACGGCCTTACTTGTAAGCTCGATGACTCGACTCGGTGAGAAAGTGTCTTGTAACCGGATGTCTCGAGAAATGAATGTTTAACGTGTAGGTTTGCTAGCGTGATCAAGTTGTAGCAGGCCTGCATAGAACCAGTCAGTACTGGGCCCACCAAGTGGTCATGCAGACGAATGACTGAATCGAGTACATTTTTTTAGCTGGTTTCCCGAAAAGTCTGAGTATGGCCAGGTGAAAGGAATAAATTCGTCATTTGGAGCTCAGTAGAATCATCATCATCGTTCAGCTGTAGCACCCGTCAGGTGCCTAGCTGCCATGTCACCAGAAGGAAGCACAAGGGCTGGGATAATGCCAGGCTGCCCAAGCCTAGACAGGGGAAATCGAGAGGGAGAGCCGGGTTCGAATCATGGACCTTGCGGTCAGTAAATTCGCGCTCTAACCACTGAGCCATCTCAGTACAGTAATCGCAAAAGACTTCAAAACGTGGCAGAGCCCTAACCACCGCCTCCTCGTGGTGGTGTTGCCACTCAAATGAAGAGTGGGGAGGTGGATCAAGCGTTACAAGCTGGTTGGTAGCCTGTGGAGGAGAAGTAACTAAACAATGATTCCAAACCAATGATGACAGGAGCATGAGTCAGCTGCACTTCAGCTGTTCTCCTTCATTTCTTCTGATGCGTTACAGAATAGGCCTTGTTATACGAAGGCTAGAGATGCACACCACGCCAAACGTATCTATTTCTGAGGAAATCAGCGCCACCCAACACGCTGAATAGAGAGCAACTAATACCTAACAAATAAAGCAAACCTGTGACCAACGTACCGACAATCCGTGCCAGAGGCTTCAGCGTCCGATCTTTGGCGGCATAGCTGGCAGAGGCAAGGATAGCTGCGGCACCTCCATCGTTAAGAGTGCTTGCATTGGCGGCAGTTATCGTCCCACCATCCTCCGCGCGAACGAATGCCGGCTTCAGAGTGGGAAATCGCTGAAAATCGACCCGTTTGTACTCCTCATCTTCGGAGACTTCATCAAACCCTGTTGGAGACTTCTTGTTCGCTATTTGTACTGGAGTGATTTCTGAGACGAAGATACCATCTTTAGCTGCAGTTTGGCTGCGCTCGTACGATAGTTTGGCGTAGGCGTCCTGCTCTTCGCGGGTGATTTTAAGATCGGACACGGTCTTTTCACAACAGCGTCCCTGGAAGGCAAAGCAAAAGGAATGTATGGAACAATTAGGCAAGCTCTGTTGCGCTGCACTTCAATATGGCACATGTATGAGTTTGCAATGTGAGCGGCGTCATCAGGCGACTAACCTCAAAGAGAAATGACTCCATTGAGATTATGGTAGACCAAGAATGTGGCCAACTACTACAAGACCATAGACTGATCACATGCGGATGTATCGAAAAAATCGTTCTGCTGTAGCATCCTTCCGGTGCCTAGCTGCCATGTCAACTGGACGCACGACGGCAGTGATACTACCAGGATGTCCAAGCCTGCAGACGGAAGCAGTCGAGAGTTCCAACCACGTGCTTACCGGTCCGTAAGCTGGGGCTCTAATCACCGAGGTATTTCGAGGGGGAGGATTGAGAGTGAGTACACCTCAGCAATACCTGGTATCTGCTCTAGTATGCGGTACGATCCTCCGCATATTGAATGACAGGCTTCAACGCAGGACGCCGATTGAGAAGACTCATCAGCGGGACATATGACCGTTGGATGCAGACGTCCAAGTTCATGAGACTGTTTTCACAAGCACCCCCCCCCAGGTAAAGAGCTACAAATAGATATTAGTTGGATATTAAATAAGGATCAAGACCACTATCAGTATCACCCACAGCAACACACCTGTAACACATACTGGCACTTAACTGTAGTACAATCATGAAGAAATAAAAACTGGGGAGTGAATGGAAGGGTGAGAAGTCCTATGCTCTTAGAATCAGGCGCCTACACTCCGGAGGTGCATTAAGATAAATACAACTGAGCACCACGTTGAAGTATGGCATCATCATTGAGACTCACTCAGAGCCTTTCGCGAACCTCAACGGACATAATCTGAGTGTGCAACAGGCGAACTTTAGTTAGGTGGTCTGGTTATGAGATTAGAGAAAGGACGATCACGTGCGCGCAAGGCGGAAGGATGAGATCATACAGCAGTCAGTTTGACTGACAGCATTATCAGAAACAACGACACCCCTGACATTGATACTTCACTGCTGTAAGCCACAAGGTGCACTTGAGGAATAAAAAACTGGGCACAGAAGGGAAATGGTACTGGATTACCTAATAGAGTTTCTTCTCGATGACGGAATAGTCACTTCCTAGTCATCTGGTTGCAAATTAGTCGACGCCATCCAACACCTTCTGAGATATCAGTGGCCCGCAAAACTCAGTGATATACCTTCTCTGTGACTCCAGTGATGCGTCATCAGTAGTCTGTTTTCGCTTACCCGCCCTGCTGTATGCAGCAAGTAAGGCGACCTGTTGATGACACCACCAGACGACCCATGTGACATGAATCTACTTGTATATGTCCAGTTCGTGGTTGTACGTGAGCTGGGATACTGTCAAGGCACTCACATCTAGATAGGAGGACGATTAGGGTCCTCAACCAGAGCCTTTGGCCGAAAAGCTTAACCGCAAGACAGGAGTGTTTGGCGGGAAATGCAAGTGCATTACCATTTCTGCGGAACAAATCGCTACATGTTCCAACCTCCAACCTGGAGAGCCAGGAGACTGTGTTTGTCAGACCTCTAACCATTGACCAACCTGGTGTGAGAGACTCTGTGAGTGTCACAGAGGCACTCCCAGTATAGCTCAATGGGTCGCTGAGGTGCACAAACCGTCACACCACGGTAAGGTTCAGTCTTTTCGTGAGCGCCATTTCATCCACTGTCCCTAGCGAATTTTCCGCCAACAATAACTTGAGTGGTGGAGGTAGGACATGGATTGTGCACGCCATAACCACTTTAAAGCTTGGTAAAGTTAATTTATTGCTCCAACGACTCTGATTCGTTGCCAAATATCCGCTTAGGTACTGCTTGATGAGGCCAACTAGGTCCTACTATGATGCGATGTGAGGAAGGTCAAATTCCTGAAAATAACTACAAAATACCCGCAAATTACTGAGACACCAAAATCACAGTAGGGAAGCCGGCAAACATCCAACGCAGTGAAGCAGTCAATAACTCAGCAACGGCCGACGATGACAAATATTCGGGTAACTTGCACAAGCACGACCGACGATGACAGGTGTTCACTTAATGCCGATCAGACAGCCTGGATCATTAAATACCGCGAGACCCCTTGTAACTTTTGCACTCACTTATTTGCAACAAAGCTGTTGTGTTACACGTTGGCGAGTCTTTTCCAAACGCTAAGGTACTGGAGCGGGGACAGCAGTTACATACGACATACGGAGACACCGGTGATGAAACTTTTGAAAACAAGTAAAATCCTTGGATCGGATGGGCCCGATTTCGCAGCCAAAATGGTGGGACCGAATAAAAAACAGAGGTATAGAGGTGTAGAGCCAACTTGATGGTCACTGAAACCATTTCGCCCAGCGACTTGGAAGTTGATTTTTACCATAGGCTAGATTTCAAATATCAACTCATCCATAGAGGGCCTGTTATATGGTATTCTGAGGATTACCTGAAACAGCTTCCGTGCGTTACTCACCGCACAACCGTCTTCCATTTCCTGCGCTTTTGCGTCCATTGTTTCAATTTTCATCTGTCCACACACAGGTCACATTTCAGCTACGTCTAACCACCTAGCCAAATTATATTCTGAGCGCTGAGTGATAAAATATAAATATCTTACAGAAAGAGGTGATAGCCACCGTTTTCAGGTCCAGAAGTTTCTGTGTACGCGGCCGGAAACAGCAATGGTTTACCGCGTCACGTGTAACCATGATTGGCACACTCTGGTTGCAATCAAAGCCTCACCAGGAGGCTGCTTATAATGCATTATATAGTAGGCCTTAGTATTTTTCTCTAAAATGTCGCTCACAAAACTTCTCTAATGCCCTCTTCTTGGTTTACCGTGGAGATGTGATAAACATCGGCACTGAGTCAATCTGTGTACTTCGCAATCACTCGTAGTCAAGGGCTGGATTACATCACCAGTGGCTCATGGGAAGGCGATCAACTTCAATGCAAAGTTCCTCAGCAGCATGCGGAACATGCAGCACAAAAATGCCCGCTGATCCCAAACCTAGAACGCCTGAGAAAAAAATGATGGAAAGTTTCCAAAGATGCTTGCTATTTTCGGTCACCTGTGAATCGAAATCTCTTGGTGTTATGACTATAGTTGAACATTATGTAGTGGACAAGATGACGGTTAGTTCTCGAATAGGGTGCGTCTCGATGAATCGTGGCTAAAGTTAAGTGGTATATAAAGGAACATAACAAACAGAGAGCATTCGGTATTTCGAGCAGTGCGAGTTTTTATGAAAATGGGAAGTTGGACAGCCGGGTGACTACAGGTATGCAGTCAAGCATTAAGCCTCAACTCGAGAAATGAGGGCTACAGCACCGGTGCAACCCGCTGGAGAGGTAACAGTGTCAAGTTCGAAGTACGGAAAGGTAAAACAATGCAGCGCGAACTACCTCATTTGTCCAACAGGTCATTTCTCATTAGACGCGAGCAAAGGCGGCTGCAGTGTAGCCCGGGAGGCCAAGCTGGCACGGATTCACTGTCCAAGGATAGCTAGTCTCACGTGGAGGATAGTCAGTGTCAAAGCAGGTGGTGTGAAACAGCAACGAAACGTCGTCAGCCCTTGAGACTTATGCATGAGTTTATGCCTTTGTACAGCCACAAAACAGGGAGAGATTGCCAAGCAGTTAGGTAGTATATATTTAAGCTATTCAAAGATTTCACTTTAGCGAAATTAGTTTGTTTGCTATCCAGCTTCACCCGTTACCGATGCAGAAACTCAATCACCAGCTGAACCAGTTGTACTCTGACTGTAGCAGCTAGAACCAAATCACCTTCGGTACATGGTTTAAAAGCCATAGGCTGAACTGAACTGTTTAACATCCATGCATTGGGCCTGTACCTTAGCTCCACCACATCAAACCACTGCACATACTCGACATGCAATTTCTCTAACTTTATTCATACAAACCCCACTGCAACCATGGCTGCATGTGTGGGGCTTACAGTAAGTCTCGACAAAACATCTGGTAATGATGCACACATGTTTGAGTGTGTCCGTAAATTCTGAGGGCAAATAAGCATAGCCCCGTTGCTCCCGACGCTGGAAGACACAGAACTGTGCGCCAGGCAAGCCAGCATATCCAAGTAGTGACCTAAATTTGAGTATATAGATGTGCGGATGAGCATGATGGAGTCCAAGCCTCCAGTATGCAAATGCAGCATCTCGTTAAAAATACGCATAACAGGTGGTGTAAACGGGAGAAAGCGGGTAACAATCAAAAAATAGCTTTCAGTACGGTGAACTGACATCACCGAGACTTCTTAGTGATGATTTAAATGTCCGTTTTCTTCAGATGCATCTACCCCGGGGATGGGTGGTCTTCATTCGGAGGTGGTCCTAATATGGAGGTCCCCATCAGGGTTAGTGATGAGTTGAGAGATGAAACGATATGATGAGGAGAGTTTAGATGCAACGGGTCCCAGTAATGCAGTATTATAATTCTAGGATCATAGACAGCCTTCTGAAATGCACTGCATCGACGTGTCTCTTCACATTCAAAGTTGCGTAGTCTCGCCCTTGTTCGACTTGGATACCACTTTTTTAGCTGCTGCCACTTCCGTTAAGGCCGTCTGAGTTACTTAGGGATACAGCGCAGCCCGATTACAAGTGTGTTGATTACCATTTCGTCGGTGGGCGAAAGAATATATGATTATCCTTTGGTCTATGGGTACGTACTCCGTGTACATACGTTTCATGGTCGGCATTAGAGGCAGCCAGGCGGATCGAAGAAAGCACATCCGTTCACGTAGAAAGCTGAGAGGAATCTGGTTGTCACCCAGTCACTGTTTAGAGACGGGACACACGCAGACACACCGAAGAGATGTAGTTCGGATGAAAGGAAGGCTGAACAAGCCTGGAATGGACGATAGAAGCAGTTTCATATTTTACTTGGCTGTATTATAATATTTTTTATTTATGGTTTTATTTTTATTTTTATCAGTATTATTTTATTTTTTGTATATATTTGTATATTTTGTATTTGTATATATGGTTAACATATTAT